CCCCACACCGCAATGTCACAACCGAATATGGCTGAGCTGGGACTCGGGAATTGATTAAAGATAGATTACCGGCGGGCTTCATCAACCGCCCCCCCTTTTTTTATTTTAGCTTTGCTGCTTAGAACATACAGAGTCTGGAGAATATTGTATACCATCACATTTCAATATCTTTTATGTGTGCAACTCGGTAACTGTCATGGTGTAGCCTGATACTGCCATTGTTGAGTGCATTGTACTTGACCTCGAGTTCGATATACTTGTGTGGGCTGTATCATGACGGCACGCTGCAGCAAAGGGCGCGCGCGAGACATGGACAGCAGCATCATCCACTACCAGGAGAACCAAACGCGCAAGACGGTCAACGGGCCGCCGGCCGCGCATCGCTCGACGGCTTAACTCCGAGTCAGGATGACACGAAAAGGTCACCATCGATGACGGCTGCCGAGACAACAGACGACAAGGACGGGAAACGTCTCGGAGGGACGGGAAGGAGGGCAGGGGGGAGAACTGGGGACGGGGTGAGGGAGGAAGAGGGTGACGGATCGTCAACCCCCAGAGAGTTTGACACGGAGACTCAGATTGGCGAGGGAGCGGCACAGCAGCCGGGGCAGAGGATCCGGCTCGAGGTCTCACGGGCGCTGGAATGTGTTGGAGACCCGGGTGGGCGCACGAAAGTGTCCTTTGCTGCTAAGGAAAGGAGGGAGGGAGTGCTAGCTATCCTGTCTGCCTACTCGCGGCACACCCTCTCTCTCTCTCTCTCTCTCTCTCCCTTCCAACTATGCGCTTACGAGATACTTACTCCCTGCCTAGGCGACTTTGGGGTCGTGGACTTTGGCACCTGGTGCACAACGAACAATACTATTCTTCCTTCAACTCGTTGAATATGTCAGAGGGGAAAACGGGCATTGGAAACGGGTCACTATTTTAAGACACAGCTGCTTGGCGGCTGATGGTGTGGCGTTTGACGGACGGACGGCCGGGCTCACACAGTCTGGGCTGAGGTGAATGGTTGGTTGTTGTTCCACTGTCACAATGAGCCGCAGCGTTCGGGGTCAAGTGGTGCTTTGCGCGTTGCATACGACAGACGGCCAGGCAGGGCATGCTGTCTGTGCGATGGGCGACACGAGGCAATGGAACGGACAACGGGAGTGCAGGCCGGACACCGGTTTGATCGTGTGACATGTGTCCATGGCAGGGAGAGGAGGAGTCGGCGTTCGCTAAAAACACCACGACAAACAAATGTTGGTAAAGTCCCATGGCTGCGATTGCTGAACGGGCATTACAATTGGCTTAGTGTCTGTTTGCCATACAATGCCACCCATCAATCCATATCACCAATGCGTCTGTCCAGGACCCCAGATACGGGCAGATGAGAGAAGCTGAATGGAAGGTAACCAGGACGCATTCACATGGGGCTAACGCGTCCCGGGAGCGTGGGACCGGGACTGGGACGGCTAGGCCTGCATTTCGTGACTGGGTTCGCTTCGGGAAGGGCCCGCGGCGGGGCGCCGGTCGGTCTGTTTGCCAGCTTCTGTTGCTTGAATTCGCACAAGTCGCCCCCCGCCCCCTGGGGCTGAATAACCAGGACCATAGGATAACGTATCTCCAATGGCTGAGCAGACAACGACTGTACTCGTCGGCGATCAGGCGTGCGGCCGCTCAATGGTGTCGGAAGTGGCCGGGTCTGGAGCCGTGCATGTGAACCCTTAGCGTTGTTGTTTAAAGTTGATGTGGATTCTCGCTCATTTCGTTTAGCAGCTCTTCATTAAGGAAAACGAACAGGCGATGGATCGCACTGGTTCCGTCTTTTACTGTGGAGAGACGCAAAGAAGAAGAACATTTCTTCCTGTTTCGGGAGGGTTGCAGGTGGACAGAGGAGAACACTTCTGCGGCAGCCAAGGCCTGTCCTCTAGTTCATCTGCCGCCGGCCCTAGGGCTATTTAGGGGTTAGGCCGATGATCCTTCTGGAAGGGCTGTCGCAATGTCCGTCCGAGCTTGAGGCCATGCTGCTGCGCATGGGAGGACTGCCGTCGCCCACAAGCTGGACGGTTGTTCAACGAACTTCAGACAATCGGTGGTTGCTCCGGGGAAGAACGCGATACCGAATTGGACATCTTTCTCTCTGAATAGAAACTGGGCAGCTGTGCAAGCACCGCTCATCTTTGTGTCACCTCCCGGAGAAAACTCCTTTCATTTCTCGTTGGGGAAAAGTCCTTAGATACCCAATTTCCCGGGGCAATGGAACTGGGAATGCGAGGCTAGGGCACCATCCTGCGCGGGTATCATACCCCAAGGCACACCTCACCCCTGACACTAACACTCGACAGGTGGGCCACTGGGAAGCTGTGCCGGCGATGGAGACGGGGAGCAGGCCGGTCCACTGAGCGGCCGGGGCAAGATTCCCCATTTCTGGACCCAGTTGACTTGTCAGGTGTCATAATGTGCTGGGCCAGCTGGCCGGCCACTGGCCTTGCCGCCGGAAGGGATGCCGGTGTTTGGTGCCTGGCCGGGCGTGAATCGTAGTGTGGTGTTCGTGTTGTCCAAGTTTAGGGGTGGTATTACGCACTGTCGGGTGTGATACGATTGATCCAGGTGGCTGGTCAGCGCAGGATCGAAATTTTTCGATCTGAACGTGCCCTTCATCCCCGTTCCTTCATTTTTGGTTCAGGGATCTATCATAAATGACATGTCGAGCGCGTCGAGTCAGATTGCAGGGTCTCGTTCACTCGATGTTGGCTCAGGCGAGCCCGCCACCCGCTGGCAACAGTCGCGTACATGTATCGACACTTTCGCTTGATGCTCAGCTTTGCTACTTGCATCGTGTCGGGCTCATTTGTGATTCGGACAAACAACGACAAAGAAGCAATGGATTGATCTGATGTGGCGATATGGCTGGGCTAGGGGAGCTCACAGACGTTTGCCGGATGGTCATGATTGCTTTTTTTTTCTTCATTTCAGCGGCCTTAATCCATGGTTGCTTCACTGGGTCATGAATGAGAAAGTGACAGCTCGTAAATATTCCTTAGTGCGCCGGGTATACGTCCCTGTTTACTCATCAGCTCCATACTGTCATAAACTCGTTCGTGACTGGAAAAGCAATACATGCGATCAGGAGGAATAGCTGGCGGTAGAAAAGGTCCGACAATTGCGCGACAAAAAAAAAGGAAAACACAAAACAAGAAAACGTAAGGAAGATGGTCAGATAAGCCAAGGAACAGGGGTGAACAACTCACGTTCGTCTTGCCAGAGGCATCTCCTCTCTCACCTTGTACACAACCTCCATGTCAATGTCAACAAATCCAATTGCCCCTTCAGCGCCCTCTTCGGCAGTGCCCTCGCTATCGATCCCTCCCAACTCGAGCTTGACGCTGCCCCAGGGGTCGACGACTAGGCTCTGTCCGTAGCTGCTTCTTTTCCCGTTGTGCCGTCCGACCTGCGCCGCTGCTACGACCCAGCTCTGCGTCTCGATGGCTCGGGCACGTAACAGGACCTCCCAATGAGCACGTCCTGTCCGTGGTGTGAAGGCAGATGGATAGAGGAGCACGTGCGCCTTGGTTGCAGCAAATGGGCTCCCAGCACCCGGTTGGGCCAGAGCCAAGGCGGGCTCCGGAAAGCGTAGGTCGAAGCAGATGAGTGAGCCAATGTTCAACCCGAGAGGACTGGCGAACGGCGCCGTTAGCGCGGTGCCGGGCCGGACGGTGGCCGACTCGCGGAGGGAGCCATAGTCAAAGAGATGGAGTTTGTCGTAGGTGGCAGCGTGGTTAATTGTGCCGTCAGAGTTGATCCAGAGGGACCTATTCAGCAGCTTAGAGGATATGCCATCTGCAGCCACGTGGATTCCGACATTAACAGCGAGAGAATGCTTCCGTGCAGCGTCTTGAAGGCCGATGACGAATGGAGACTCGTCTTGCGGAAGCGCGAGTGCAAGCGATTCTTGAGGAGTAGATGCAATATAATCAGCTGCCTCGGGGAGGAAGAGGACCTTCGCATTGCTAGCTGCTGCTTTAGCAACAAGTCGGACACATTGCTCCAGGTTGTGAGCGAGGGATGCTGTCGAGCAAATTTGGCCGATTGCCTAAGCCATGTCAGTGCCATTCCTGCCTAAAGGGTGAGTGAGTGTCCCTACAGCGATGGCCATAATGTCCCAAGGGCCAAAGAAGAGACGAAACACTTGACACGAAGGTTGGTGATGGCAAAAGACAAAGAATAAGGTATTCTCAAGTGGTGATAAAGGAGGCGGGAGTGCTCTATCGCGACTGCCCCATCATGGCGTTGAGCTGCATCGTCGTGATGTGCTGAATAAGGCCCTGATCGTCTCGAGCATTTAGTGCCAAAAGATCATTAACCTGTATGGAATATAGCCCGTGCCTATAACGCTTTACCTAATTTAATAGGCGTTTTATACTAAATAAACGGTAAGCTAATATTTAACTGAATATTATATAATAAATATACTACGCTAGTAGGGTGCCCTAGTTTATTTAGACCTTCCCTAAATAGGAAGGGATTTATAACTTAATATTAATTATTTAAAGTACCCTCTTAGTACTAAATAAATACTTATTTTTAAGCTAATATATACTAAAATAGAGGTATCTTAATTACTAATAGAAGAATCTAAATCGCTTAAGATTAACGATAAAATCCGACGAAGTCGTTATATTAATTCTACCCTTTATTATCGACCTCCTCTCGCCTCCTCTATAGTTCTATTAGGAGGCTTTACGCTAGCGAGTACTAGAGTAAGTACGCTTAGCGTAGTAGCTCGTAATAGCTTAGCTAGAGGCACTAGATTATACTTTTATCGGTATATTTCGTATCTTAAAGCCGGAATTCCGAGTACTTACGAGCTAAGCGCAAGCCCGGTATATTATTTAAAGCTCTTAGTATTAATTAATAGAATAGAAGCTATTAATTTTTCTATATATCGTTAATTATATAATAATATAAAGGGTAATAGAAAGTCTATTAAAAGTCCTTTAGAGCTATATTCTAAGGATATTTAACGAGGTATTATAAACGTTATATAAGCTCTATATTAAGGTTATAAAGCTTCCTATTAACGATTTCTTTAATAAATTTATCGAGCTAAACCTATAATATTATTAATTTAATAGTTATATTAGAGCTATTAATAGAACTTATATATTAGCTTTTATAGAGGCCTCCTCTTAGAGGAGATTCTTTAATAGGAAAAGAGGGATATTTTAGAACGTATTCGCTATAGTGAAATTCGACTTTACGTTTAGTTACGTTTTAGTAGGTATAGAGGGGTTAATAAACGACTCTACCCTTCTAATATAAGCCTTAATAAAGTCGTTCTAAGTATTTAAGGGCCGTTTCTATTTTACGGATAGTAGGTTTATATAGGACCTTCGAGGGTTTATTATACTATTCAGAGGACGTCGATATTACTTTAAAGACTTCGAAAATATTAATTAAAATAGCCTATTAATAGAGGATAGGTATAATTATATCTATATATACTTTTAAATTATCGTTAAGCGGGTTTTTAGCGTCTTAAAGTATATATTTACTATATTAAGGAAAGGACCCTTAGAATACTTATTTAAGACGTAAATTAACGTAATATACGCTCTAATAGGTCTCTAGAACTTCCTATAGTAATAGCGAAATAAAAAGGATAATTTAGAAAATATTAAATCTATTATAAATATTAGAATAAGTATAGAAGAGGTATTATAGAGGGTAAAGGAGAGGGCGTAATATTAGGTTAGAAATAAATAAAGCTTAGAATTAAAGTACTAAATAATAATTCTACTTAGAAGTTAAAAGAGTAAATCTTTAATTAATTAAAACGCTTAAATCGATTCTAAGCTATATTATATATAGTTAGCGTTATTAACTATATAAGCTAAAACTTATATTTAAATATTAAATTACCTCTTCTATTAAATTAATCCCTTTTTCTATATTAACTTATTTACTATCTATATCGCTTATTATATTTATTCTTTATAGAAATAGTAGCTAAAAGCCTTATAATAGGTAATTAAAGGTAGAGGCTTTAAGAGGATTATTAAAGAAGTATTCCTTTATTTCTAGAAGACCTTTAAATCCGAGATATTAATTAAATAACTACTCGTAAATAAGTAATACCTACTTTATTACTACCTCGCTTTTAGGAGCTATAAGCCTATCGAGGCCTTCCCGAATCACCTAGGTAGCTATTATTTAGCCCTATATTATTAAAAGTTAAGCCTTAGCCTACTAACGCTACGAGGATAGTAAAGGGGCCGAAGAGGGTAAGTTAAAGCTAGAGAGATCGACCCTTAGAGTAGGAGTCTCTATATTACGGCTTAGATCCTATATCTTACTCGGCTTCTCGATCCGCTACCTCTTTCCCTACCCTTTAATTATATTCTTATCGCTTAAAGGCTATTACTAGCGACGATCCTAAACCTTTATAATATCCTCGCTTATTATATATATATAAGGCTATATCTCTTTTATTAGAGAGTCGATATAAGGGAAGCCTCGAAGCTATATTTAGGCTATATAGTTATTCCGTTTCTCGAAGGTTTCTTAGTTCTATTTAGAGGTTAATATCTAACCTATCTCGTTATTATAAGTTATTCTAGAAATCTCTATAAGCTATAGAATCTTCTAATATTTAGTATAAAGATTATTATATTTTATAGAGAGCGTTTATAAAGTAATATTTAATATAAAGAACGCTAATTATAAATCGGATAGGATTTCCTCGAGTATAGCTTTAAGAATAGTATATTTATTATTTATTATAAAGAGCTTTCCTTATATTATTAAATACTTAAAGCGTTTAAGGAAGAGCTTCGTAGCCTCTAAGTATTATATAAAACGACCTTTCCGCCCTTTAATTTAGTTAGTATTCGGGTCTTTTTATATATAGAAGAGAGATTCGGATTCTATTCGCGAAGAGGTATCTTTATCGCTATTAAATAGGTTAGTTTTATCGAGATCGAGGATATTTCGCTTAAGTATAGAAGCGATTCTAACTATATCGTTATTAGTAATTAAAGGGTTCGATTCTATAATAGATACGTAGAAATTCGTATAGTAAAGGTATAGAACTAATAGACTTAATTATAATTTACGACTAGAAGAGAGGGTTAAGGCTCGATATAGAAGGGAAAACCCTTAATCCGACCGTCTCTAACTATTTTCTTAATTAAGTAAAGAACCGGGGGCTTAGAGGTACTTCCGAAATAGTACGCTAGCACCGTTTTAAGTAAGTTACTTAGAGCTAAATACATTTAGCATTAAATACTCGAGACGATCAGGGCCTAAGCAAGCGCCCTCCCCCTCTGCCGGTACATCGCTTGCCTCCATCACCAGAAACCATGTGACGTGATGTTCTAATACCACTCGACATCTCCGTTGTCGCCGTTGAGTTTCCCTTCCGCCTCGAGCTTTGTCAGCGTGGCTTTGACCCTTTGTACAACGGCCTGCGCATACTCGGGCGTCCCAAGCGGCGGCGCCTTCTTGGTCATATCGTGTCTCAACCATGGAACCCGCCTCGCACTTTCGTTCCTCTCCTCCACGGCAGATCTCAGGGCTTCTGTGGCCGCATCGTCAAATGCGCCGCCCAGCACGATTGCGCATGGTGCCTGGCTATAATTGCCGGTGCCAATCGCGCTGCTGTCCTCATGAAGTGGAGGCTTGCGACCCGCCACGAGAGCTGGCAACAGCGAAGGGCCCGAAGGGCCGGCCTTGACGAAATGGATGACTAGTGGCATCGCGTCAGTCAATCGCAGGAGCAGGGACAGATCTAGGAATATGAACCTTCGTACTCGGGCCTCAGAGCACTGATGACCATCCGACCCATAGCCTCCATCTTGCCACACACAACAACAGGGAGTGGGTTTGACATGACGAGATGAGCTTCTGCCTCGGGTATGCCTCGCGCGATCTCAACTGCGGGGAAGATATGTTATTTGTAGTGCAGTGTGACACGAGGGTGAGATACCTCACCAGGTCCAGCTTGTCACATGATCCTGCTTGCTGACTGCATGAGGAGTACATCGGAGAATATTCAGTACATGCTTTGATTCATTACGTAGTTCTAATCACAGCTTCCGGATCGCAACGGAGCGCCAAATATGTAGCAGAAGAATATACAAACAAGACTTGCTCACCACCAGATGAGGTAAACGCCAACCCATTGTGTACAAGAAAAGACGGGCTCATATGTACAGGCGGAAGCCTCCCTACTGCGCAGGCAGGCCGTTCTGAACGAAAAAGTCAAGAATCTTGCCTGTTGTTTCGACATGGGAGTATTCCTAGATGTTACGGTTAGCCTAGCCCTGGGGCTATAAGACAGAAAGGACACATACCAAGGCGAGACCATGCCCGGCACCCTTCACGACGTACGCCTCAAATGGCTGGGCTTGCTGCAGGAACTGCGCCGAAGTATCGAGAATGGACTTGAGCTGAGGGTCGCCAGTCGCCGAGCAGTCACCACCGCAAAATGGAACGTCACGGTCTAAAAGTCCATGAGCAAAGTTGATGACGTCGACCTTGTACGTAAGGAACACTCACCACCAGTGATCACCAGCACGGGGCCGCTGTACGAACTAGGAATACCTGTACTGCCACCAACGGTTAAAAGTTCGCCTATGGACGCCGGCTGTCCCATGCTGTACGTTGCCTGTAGAATCTCAGGGTCAAATGCGCCGGGGGCGAAGAAGTTGATGTGAACACCAGTCGTCGACACGGGCGCCACGTATCCATCAGCATAATCGGCGAGCGGAGGCAGAGAGTTGGCTTGGACGAAGTTTCCGCCAAGCAAGAAGTAAGGCAGGAAGGTGCCATTCTGAGAGAAGCCGGTCAGAACGATACCGTCGGATAGACACGCGTCCTTGTCGTCGACCGTCAGCCCATATGTCTGCACCGACCCAAAGCTATGGCCAACATGGACGATCTTGTCGAAGTGCTTGTCCTCGAGGCCGCTGAGTTCGCTGGCGCGAAGTTTCTGTGTGAGGACTTTGAGGGCAGCGAGCTCAAGGGCCTGTTGAATCTCCGAAATTGGCTCACCATGAGACGACTCGCCTACGCCAAGGCGATCATAGGTGAAGGTAGAGTAGCCGTACTCGTCAACAGCCGTCTTGGCATAGCTATAGTTGTAATTATTTGCTGGGAAATCCCAGTAGCTGCTGTTCGTCAGTAGTTATTCCCCAAACGCGGGGTTCCGTGAAGGACTTACTGTCTATCAAATCCGATGCCATGTGTGAGGATTTGGAGAACCTTGGATGGTCCATGGTCGGGCTCACAGTATGTTGCTGCGAGCTCGTAGTTACCACTAATGTGCGTCTCCTGTGAAGCACGTTAGCCATGACCAGCACGGGGTCATAGAGCACCATACTCCTGTAGTAGTGTCGCTGATGAAGTTGCCGCCTTGCCTGGTTACTTGCAAAACGATGTCGGTGATTTCGATGTCTGTCGTTGGTATAGCCAGGTCAAAGACTTTGTTCGTAGCCGAGACATCAAGGCTGACAGACAAGTCGTGGCAGTTGCGAGCTGTGGCCAGCGCCGCGAAACTGAGGATGGATAGTGTTATACTGTGGCGAGCCATTATGAAGGTAGATACTGCACCGTCAACTCTCACCGTGAAGATAAGGGAGAAGAGGTGAAAAGAATAAGAAAGTATGACTGTAATGAGCGTGACGTTTGCGGGAATCTAATCTGAACATCGCCAGAACGGCATCCCATATATACTAAAGCCTGGCCTCACATCTGCCATCATCCCATCACATCATCTCACTGCCGAGAGACCTCTCATCCGAATTCCAAATCCACCCCTTACTTCCTTTGCATGCATGATGCCAATAAAATCCTTACTCACGCCCAGACTGCTGGGTCCGGTGGACGACGAGAGCTAGAGTAGCGCGGCTTCGGGTACTGTGTGCTAGGTCGATCAGCAAATCGTATGGCTGCGACATATCTGCTTGGCTGTCGACTCCAGCCGTTGACTCTGTAAGATGGGTGCCCAGTCAATGCTCCAGACCCTCGTCGTATCCTTGTCCGCTCTGTCTGCGCGGTGTTTGGCAGCGGGCGAGGAGCGGGAGAGGCGCTTGGGGGATGTGTGTCTCAGTTGGAGCAAGAGGTGACCAGCGATCCCAGCCGACTGCCCATGATGAGTGCCGTGAGATTTTAGACTTTCAGGCGCCTACCCAACACATCCGGACCATAATCTAACAGGCGGAAATCGCCGGATATACAAATCACCAGACCCTCATCTCGAGTCGGGTCAGCACCCAACGTCTGGGGTGACACGGTAGTAGTAAGCCGCATGCTGGAGGTGGAGAAGCAACGTCCATCCCCCTTCCACACATCTGTGCCGACGTTCCCACCTCCTCAGCTCTGGAACGCCGCTGGGCGGTTCTTGTGGCGGACTCTCACAAGAATATGGGTTGCCCAAGTAAAATCATCGTCTCGAAGAGTCCCAGACCTTAATCTGCCATGAGCATCTCGTCATCTCCGCCATCCTTGTGCCCGTCTCAGTGTCGTCATTGCTTTTGCTCAATGGTCGGACCGGGCAGTTGCCGGCTGGACGGCTCTGTCGATCACTCGGGTAGCGCCCGGCGCTTGTGCGTATGTTATGGTCTTGGGCCTTGTGATGATTTGAGATACTCCAGGTCTGAGATCAGCTGTCTGGCACACCGTTCGTTGCGACGGTTGAGATCGGTGAGAGACTTCTGACCTGTCAGAACAGAGAGACACAAACCCGTCGTCTAGCTGAGAGATCTCGGACAACGCTCTACTTCAGCCCTTTGAGTCCAGTAAACCCATCCCACATAATAACCACACCAGTTGAGTATATGACATGAGCAAATGCAGACGAAGTTATCTTGTTGCACGTCTGGCTAACGCGCCGAAGGGTTTCTCTATTTAAGCTGTTCTACACTGAGCTGGCAGCTCTTCGCCACGCGCCTACCCGTCGATTCATGGTGGCAGGTCTCTCCAGGCCGGCGCGAGAGAACTTTCCACCCTCAAACCCTACGTAGTCTCCACGCAGGAAGCCTCATCTGCAAGAATAATGCAATCCTCAGAACGAAGCCATGCAAACGCCCGTATCCGGCCCGAGCCCATGCCATGGGGTCGGGTAATAACGCCTTGCTAATTCATACAGAAAAACACAACGCGGAGATTTGTTGATGTGCTCGGCCGCACTTTTTTTTGACAGTCTCTCCCGTGAGCAGGGGTGGGCTGCGCAGCTTAGCTTCCCCGCCGCTGCTGTCCGTTCCCCCACGCTCATTTTTACCTGTTATTCGAGCTCCAAGTATTCAGTCGAGCAAAGATCCTCGTAGTGATTCGCGTGCCGGTTTGTCATTGTATGGCTGTGACGTCGATCATACCGCAAAGGGCTTTCCTGCCATTGTTGCCCTGCGAGTAGCTCATGACGATAGAGGATCTGAGTGTCAACATCAATTGCCGAAAGCCCACTACTGCTTGGGGCCAGAGGTGTCGAGTTGAGCATACGCTCGCTGCATGGCCCTGATCTCAACGCCGTCGCCTTCTAGCGCAGAGACCCAGTCGCGGAGCTGGATGTTCTTTCCCTTATCTTTATCCTCACGCCACGCGCCTGGTCTGCGATGCGCACTGCCATCTGTTGTCAAGGCGCTTGGTGGTGGCACAACTGGGGTGCCCGGAGCTGTAGGGGCGCCTGGCTTTCCTCCAGCGCCAGCCTTCGGCGTGCTCGCACCGCTGCCTCCACCTGTCATCCATGAGTAAGACTTGCCCCCCTTTTTCTTGCCGAAGAGACCCGAAGTGTTCGTCAGGCCTAGAAACTCGCGACTGGTAGTGTTTTGGTTGGCGTGGCTGCTCGCCTCGGCCTTCTTCGCAGCCTCCAACTTTTTCTGCTCCTTCTTCGTCATGGCTTTCTCGCCATCGGGCGCTGATACGCCAGGGGTGCCAGGCGCCGCAGAGCCCGCACGGTTTGCACCTGCACCAGTGTCTGTGATCCCCTCTTTGCGGGCGTTTCGTCTCCGCAGCCTCGACTCCTCCCACTCTCGCTCTGCCTTGCCGATGTCTCTCATTAACGCACTGACAGTAGTTGTGTTCGCGGGCTGGGCTTTGCGGAGCTTAGCCGGACGGGTGCCATTGGCCGAGTCGGCACCGCTGAGAGAGCCTGGAGGTCAAATATCAGCGAACCATAAACAAAAGTGGCAAATGTCTTTGCTGCCTCACGTTTTAGGGGGTGGGTGCTGGAGTCAGCCTTGCCCCCAACGTCATTGGATTCGCCGTTGGACTCAGCAGGAGTCGTGTTGAGGGGCCCTGCCGCCTCTTTCCACTCGTCAGGCACCTCGCCGTGGGAACTTTGCTGTCGTGTGACGGCAATGCGGTGCGCGTCTTCAATCAAAGACCTCAGCCTCTGCTTCGAAGCTATCGAAAGGAGAGCGAGCTGATCCGCTAGATAGGCGTCGTGAGGGATCCAAGTGCCAGATGTCTTGATGACGGCGCCATCAGGCCCGACCTTTGTGCTGACCTTGACTGGTTTGGGGTGCTCATCCATAACCTTGATCTTACCCATCGGCTGGGAGGCCTTCATGTCCCAGTTGAGAGTAAGCCCATGCTCCTTCGCAATCGACTCTGCCCGCCCCTGCACGTTAGGGACAACGAGGAATGCACTGTTCAATTCCACTACCCGCTCCGCAGAAAGGGCTTTCGCGCTTGCCTGCCAAGCCTTTTCCGCCGCTTCAGCGATCACTTGGTCCTGGGACTTGCCGCCATTGGGCTGGGCTGCCTGATTCGCAGAGCCAGCGCCATAGAAAGACGCCTTGTTCCCAGGGTTCTGAATAGAGAAGCCTGCCCTGGAGTCGGAAATTGAGGGTTCAACGGCGAATAGCTCAGCCAGATACTGTTCCTCTGCTCTCAAATCGATTCCCGTGCCAGCGAGCGAGTCGGTTACATCGTACTCGTATTCTTTCTGGGGCCGGTCGGCAGGCCTCGACGGAGGACCCATGGCACCTTGAGGTGGCTGTTGGTGCTGCAGGTGTTGCTGATGCTGCTGCGGGACCTGTTGCATGCGCTGCTGGTGCTGTTGCGCATGGTACTGCTGGTGCTGGTGCGGGTGCTGCTGCGCATACTGCGGCGGTTGCTGTGAATAAAGATGCTGTTGATGCTGCTGCTGCTGCGGATGTGGTTGCTGCTGCTGCAACTGCGGCTGCATTTGCTGTGGTTGCTGCTGCTGCTGCTGCTGAGGTGGCGGCGTTTGTTGGGGATACTGGTGGTTCGGGGGCGGCGTCGCGGCAGCAGACATAGGTGGCGTGAATGTGATATTAGTGTATGGCACGGGTGGTCCGGTGGGTGGAGGTGTCGGTCGCGATTCAGGTAGGGCGATCGTCGGAGTAGTACTGCCGTTGCTGCTGCTGTTGCCGTTCGGGTATGGGGTTGTGTAGCTGCTCTGAGCGGGTATCTGAGGAGCTTGCTGAGTAGCCGGGTAGACTGGCGTAGCTGCCGGTGTCGTGACGCCGGGGGTAGAGGGAGCGCCAGGACTGGCATATGACTGTATGTATGGAGTTGGTGATGCCGGCTGAGACGGAGGACCGGGAGAAAGACGAGGCCGCTTGTTGGGGGGCAAGGCGTTGACAGGAGACTGATAGGCCGATTGGGGGGGAACAGGCGACGGCGATGCCTGAGCTGGAGAGTACTGCCTCTGAGGTAGAGGCTGCTGAGGCTGAGGCTGCGCCATCCTGTCGGCTTTCGAGTCCGGTCGTCGTGTTGATGCAAGGAGGAAGGATGGGCTGAAGTCGCAGAGCGCTTCAATAGGCCGTTGAGCCTATGCGGATTGTCGCGACCTCAGTCATGCGCTGCGCTTGATTCGCGTCAAATAGCAGGGCCTTGATGGTCGCGTCGGAAGTAGGACCGGGGTGTATCGTCGACAAGTTGACGGTAGCGATGGCAAGATAGCCGTTGAGTTGGTGGCGGGCTGCAAGGTAGGTAATCGATCTGTTCTGGCGCGCCGAGGGTATGAAAGAAGGAGCATCACCAGAGACTGATTTCCAACGTCGCGAAGCTTAATTATCACGTGACTGGCAGCCTGATTGCTGCGATGGCCCGTGCTCCTTCCTGCTGGCTGGGCCATCAATGCATCCCCCAAATGATTGTCCACCGACCTGTAAGAGCCACCCTCCCTACCTTGCGAGCATTACTGCGATTGTTGAAGCTACTGAGCTGCAACGCGATCGCGCAGACGGAAACGTCTTCAGGGCGGGTTAACATCGTCAATGTGCTAATCTGACAGTGCCTACCGTTCCCCCGCGCCGAAGACGAAACGACGAGACGCGACGATTACCAGATACTCTACGACTTACTCAATCTATTCGCGACAATGGCGGCGAAACGCAAGGCCGCCGCCATGGCAGCCACCGTCACGGAAGAGCCTGTTGATCCAGCGGATGAACTGATGTTCCTCTGCCTCGGAGGTGGAAACGAGGTCGGCCGATCCTGTCACATTATCCAGTACAAGGGAAAGACTGTCATGGTATGGGAAACAAGCACCTTCTGAAAGTGACAGTCGCTAACTCCCTGTACAGCTCGATGCCGGTCAACATCCTGCGTACGACGGTCTTGCCGCGCTGCCCTTTTTCGACGATTTCGACCTTAGCACAGTCGATGTGCTCCTCATCAGCCAGTAAGCTACATTTCCCCTTCCTCCGTGCTGGCATGGCGTTACACAGACAAGGTGGTATGCGACGAGTAGAGCTAGGATAGTGGCGGCCTTATCTGGCTTGCCGTTGTGCATATGTCACTGTCGCCGCCTCTCTGCCATCTTGCGCTACCTCAACGCAGTTCTCAGACTCAATACAAACTTCATTCCCATCCTCGCCCCCTTGTCTTGCCCGCCTTGTCTCTGTCGTGACCATCCAAGCCAACCCCCGCGCTTCGAGCACATGATGTAGACTGTCGCGCCAAGTACAGACACTGACCAGCCCACCAGTTTCCACGTCGATCATGCCGCCTCGCTTCCCTATGTCCTGGCCAAGACCAACTTCAGGGGCAGGGTCTTCATGACCCATCCCACAAAGGCCATTTACAAGTGGCTCATCCAGGACAGCGTTCGGGTCGGAAACACTTCATCCAACCCTTCGACGCAACCTGTCTATACCGAAGCAGATCATATGAACACGTTCCCTCAAATCGAAGCCATCGACTACCACACCACCCACACCATCTCCTCCATTCGCATCACTCCCTACCCCGCAGGGCATGTCCTCGGCGCGGCTATGTTTCTGATCGAGATCGCGGGGCTCAAAATATTCTTCACGGGTGACTACTCTCGAGAACAGGATCGACATCTTGTGTCAGCGGAGGTTCCAAAGGGTGTCAAAATCGATGTTCTCATCACCGAGTCGACGTACGGTATCGCGTCACACGTGCCGAGAGTGGAAAGAGAGCAAGCTCTCATGAAATCAATTACAAGCATCCTCAACCGTGGCGGCCGCGTTCTGATGCCTGTGTTCGCCCTCGGTCGAGCTCAAGAATTACTGCTCATTCTCGACGAGTACTGGGGCAAGCACCCCGACTTCCAGAAGTACCCCATCTACTACGCCAGTAACCTTGCCCGAAAGTGCATGGTCGTTTATCAGACGTATGTGGGAGCCATGAATGACAATATCAAAAGACTCTTCCGCGAAGGAATGGCACAAGCAGAAGCATCAGGTGACGGCAGTGGCAAGGGTGGTCCGTGGGATTTCAACTATATTCGATCGCTGAAAAATCTTGATCGATTCGATGACCTGGGTGGTTGCGTGATGCTGGCCAGCCCGGGTATGCTGCAAAATGGAGTCAGCCGAGAGCTGCTGGAAAGGTGGGCGCCAAATGACAAGAACGGCGTCATTATCACCGGTTACAGTGTTGAGGGTACCATGGCCAAGCAGATCATGCAGGAGCCAGATCAGATCCAAGCCGTGATGAGCAGGACCATGGCCAATGCTCGTCGCGGTCCCGGTGGAGACGGAGAGAAGTTTTTGATTCCCAGGAGGTGCAGTGTACAGGAATACTCATTTGCCGCACACGTCGACGGGACGGAAAACCGCGAGTTCATTGAGGAGGTTGCTGCTCCAGTTGTAGTAGGTCCCTGTCATCCATTACTTGGTATATCGGTGCAACTTCAGAAGCTGACCAGTTCAGATCCTTGTCCACGGCGAACAGCACAACATGATGCGCCTCAAGTCCAAGCTTTTGTCTCTAAACGCAAACAAATCCATCAAGGCCAAGATCTTCAGTCCCAAAAATTGCGAGGAACTCCGCATTCCATTCAAGCAGGATAAGACAGCCAAGGTTGTCGGCAAGCTAGCCACAATTCAACCGCCTACGAAGAGCACATTAGAGGATGGCCAGAACGCCCCCCTAATCACAGGCGTCCTTGTCCAGAACGACTTCAAGCTGTCTCTGATGGCACCCGAGGACTTGCGTGAATACGCTGGTCTCAATACCACGACCATCACCTGCAAGCAACGCCTCAAGCTCAGCGCCGCCGGCATTGACCTTATTCGGTGGGGCCTTGAGGGCGTATTCGGCACCGTTGAGGAACTTCCCGAGATGCACAAGAAGAAGCTCAGCAAGACGCATGATGGCGATCATGAAGAAGCAGATGAAAACACAAACGAAGTCCCCAAACAAGAGGAGGCCGATGAAGAAGTGGCGAGCTTAGTAGCTGCATACCTTTTGATGGGCTGCGTAACATTCCGCTACCGTAGCGACGGCGAAGTTGAGCTTGAGTGGGAAGGCAACCTTCTGAACGACAGCATTGCAGACGCTGTACTGACCTGTCTCTACTCGGTGGAGAGCAGCCCCGCTGCCGTAAAGCGTATGTATTAGGTTATCTAACTTCGATGACACCTTGACTGACCATCTCAGGTTCCGGCAACACACACCAGCATGACCACGGACCCACAGGCCATAACCCACACGCTAATCTTTCTCCTGAGGAACGACTCGAGCGATTCCTCATGATTGTGGAGAACCAATTCGGCGCTGACAATGTCAATCCTGTTGCGGATCCGAAGTTGCCTGTTACTTCAAAGGATGATGCTAAGGGCGAGGACGAGGGCGAGGACGCTGATCCTTCTGCCATGGACACGTCAAATGATGGCGGGGACAAAGATCTTGATGAACGTCGCCGCGCAGAACTTGATCGTCTGCACAAACTGGGTATCCCTGTTCCAGGAATCCACATCAAGGTTGATAAGATGGAGGCTACCGTATGGTTGGAAGATTTAGAGGTTGATTGTGTTCACAAGGCGTTTGCGGATCGTGTGCGCCGCGTCTGTGAACGTGCCGCCGAGGTTACGGCGCCGTTGTGGGGTTGATGTTAACATCGGAGGAAAGGGCCAGGTTAATGATGTATACTACAAGCTGTCCACCAAGAGTATTCCCACTTCCAGAAATCGAGTGGGTGTCCATATTTCGCATCATTTTAACTTTACGACCGCTGCGCGTGAAGAGACCGGTGATTGAGGCAACTGATGAATGTCTCTAATTCATGGTAATTGGTACAATGGTGATAGGGTTACAACACTACGTATGTTTACAACTCTTCCGACACCAGAACTTCGTTCACAACGAAGCATGTAATTCCTTAACCGAGGTACTCTGACAACTCTTCCGACTCTTCCAAAGTAGTGGCAAAGGAAAATGGCTGGAAGGGCCAGCCGGCGAACTCTGCAAATTTGGAGAATGACTCGACCCATGCCAGACGCAGAGAGTGCAACATAGCACTGGTACCTTCCATCATGACCAGGATGGCGATGGCTGACACTCGAGTTAGCGTAAATCTAAAAAGCCACAGAGGTGCAATACATACTAAGGACAAACCACAGGTAGAATGCAACGACGATCATAATGCCGCCAGTGATACCAGTAGCGCTGGGGGAGGCGAGAATACCGCCAAGAGTCATCGACCACAGCACAACACTGAGCTGCTGATGAGCCAGCGACAGAGCCCAGAGACGGAGGTAGGACGCCGTGTGGGATACACAGTTGAGACAGAACTCTACGTGATTGTTAGCAAGGGGGCTATATCGCATAGGAAAGGCAGCTTACCGATAGTATGGATAATCTGATGGATCATGACTTCGCTGAACTCAAACTCCTCATGCTCGCCATCGCCATGGAGGTCCTGTGTGATCATTGCCACGCCCTCACCGACAGAGTCGGTACTAGGACGCCCGTTCACTACATGGCCATTGCTGTCGTCTTCATCATCGCCATCGAGAGCACTGACTCTGGAAGTCTCGCCGACAGCCCTGTAGCCGAGACCACGAGCTCTGTTGTGCTCCCTGCGCAGCCAGAAGGGCTTTAGAAATAGCAAAACGGGAACTTGTACGAATGCAAGCAGCAACAGAATGACCTGCACAGTCGCCTGCCCAGGGTAGAGCTGAACATCCAGGATACCAGGTGAAAGGAACATGTAGATCAACATGTTGAGAAGACCAGGCGGCTGCCTAGGGTTTGAAGGATCGTTCCAGTCGACCGACCACTTGTAGATGATACAAAGGACGAGATAGCCGAAAATGGACTGGAAGAAGATCATGCCAGGAACAAAGTTGCCCCAGATATCAACAGGCTTTCTGAAGTGCCTGGCGTTTACGTAGGAAAAGATCAGTGAGTAGGTCATGTGTGCCCAGCCAAGAATGATGCTCATCTTCATCTTGTAACTGTTCGAGAAGAGGAGGTCATTCTCTGTACCGTGCCACATCCAGTCCAAGCCGAACGGGTAACGGTAACCGGAATCGTTGAGTGCGGCGGTAAGTGTCTGTCCGTCCACGTACTTGTCGGGCACCCGCCAGTGCCAGGCGCTGTCAAACAGCGTAAGGGACTTGGAGAAGATATCGTTGTAAATAAGACCGGTGAAAAGTGAGAAGAGCGCCATGATCAGAGCAATGTAGCGTCCGTAGTAGAGCATCGCAAAAAGTTCGAACGAAACCTTTTTCAGGGGCTTCTCCCAATAGATCATGGCCAGGGCAGCTGAAAGCATGATAATGGCGTGGCCCAGATCACCAAACATGACGGCGAACAAGAAAGGGAAGGTGACCACAACCGGAAGTGCTGGGTTGACTTCCTGGTAGGTAGCAGTACCGTAAGCATTGACAATAGTTTGGAATGCCTCGGTGAATTTGTTGGTCTTGAGGTAGGTAGGAGGAGTCTTGTTGGTCCTGATTTCGTTGATGATCGAAGGAACGGAGAGACCAGCCCGGTTTGTTACCTCCTGCAACGTCGCACGGATGCGACTGACCTCGTTGGTGGGAGCCCAACCCTCAGCAATCAAAGTGCGGCGGGCCTTGTCATATGAGAAGTTGTTCAGTGTGTTGTAAACAGCTTTCTCTTTTGTAACAAGCACCATCCAGGCCGACAGCGATTGCGATATTTGAGTGAGTTCCGCGCTGAGGGTCTGCTGTGTGTTGCGGAGGACGTTCTGAACATCATTGAGGCGAGCGTTGACCTCGTGCATCTGGTCACGGCGAAGATCGCTGTTCTCGTCGACATTGTAAGTCTCCGCACCCAAAGACTCGGAAATCTTGCGAATTTTGGCAAGAATCTCCTTGCCATGGGCAAAAATGACGAAGACGTTCTTGTGCACAGTTTCGTTGGTCGAAGGATCCACTAGGGGTTCCTCGATCTCCGACTGGTTCATGTATAGATTTCCGCGAAGGGTGCGCCACAGGATGCGCTCAAAAGAGGCGACCCTATCGCGAGCAATAACACCGGCCACAAAGCCAATGTTCATGCCTGAGAAAGACCGTTCGACCTCGGGGGCGGAGTTATGGTGCTCGACGTCCTGAAGGAGAGGTGCATCATCTTCCTCTGTCGACGCGCGAATCTCGTCTACATTACCGTGAGCGCGATCGAAGAAGCCCCCAGCTTCGCGAAGTACCCAGCGCCATTCTGTCAGCTCGACCTCACGCTTCTTCAGCGTCTCGTAGCTGTCGTTCAACTGAAAAACGCGTTGTTCAAGGCTTTGGCTCCGCTCGGCAAGTTCATCAATCTCGGATGTCGAAGGATTCGCCAGCCTTTCATTATCGAGATCGAGTTTCCGCAGTGGAATGCCTGCCTTTTCCATTTGCGCGTAGAAGTATCCTGGAGCGCGGTTAGCTCCCAAAATGCACATGAACAGTAGGCGGACGATAACATACGCAATTGGCGCTCGACGTTATCTAGTCGTCGAATCTCCTGCGTGAAGGTTCGCTGGAAAGCGTTGACTTCGCCGTTAAGCTGCGATAAAGCTTTGTTAGCCGGTGGACTATGGTAACAGGTTTTGAGGGAGGGGGGAAGCGCGTACATCGCGGAATTGGAGGAGGCCAAGCTCTCCGAGAGCTGTCACGACGTCTCTGCCGATTTCGTTGGATATGTACAGCTGCACCATACTCATGTCCGCCGAGCGGAACATGGTATCCTGCGCTGGAGCCATTTTGATGGTTGCGAAAGCTCCAGAACTGAGAGGGGGTATGTGGTGGGAAGATTGCTGAGGCGTGTCGACGTCAAGATCCCAGGCAAGCTTCCAAGTTACTCTCGGAATGTCGTTGCCTCCAGGGATAAAAGCGGGCCCATCTCTCGGAGGGACAGATGTTCCGACCGAGCCTGGTCGCAGACCAGGGCGCAGCCTCCTCAGCGAATGAAGGACCCACTCAGATCCGAGTATTTTTTGCTCTGAAGGAAAGCTCGCTTGAACTCCCTTTCTGTCTTCAATAACAACTGCGAACCATTTCTCCTCTCACGACACACGGACCCGAACACACCATTGGGAAGCTTGAGGATAGCATTATTCTGCTGATCTGGCAGCTGACTGCTCTCCCGGCACTTATGTAGCACATCCTCACAGCTCTTTCATGAGCATTTTCGGCGCTGTCTTCCTCCCTGAGCAACTGTTCACGAGATTAGGTATACCAAGTGGCAGCCTGATTCGGACATCTTTAGTTGCTTCTCCAATGGGCTCGCAAATTTCAGTGACACGACGGCGCTTTCGAAGCCTCAATGCTCGCCTTTCGAGGCTACATGAGCAACTGAGGTCAATATGACGCCAAGAGTAAAACCATACGCCCTGCCAAGGGTGATCTCCGACGTGTTACAAAGCTCCAGCTACGGCCATGAAGAACTTTGCGTCAAATCCACGAGTCACATTCCAAATATAGAAATCTCGGTACGAGAATCAATAGCTTGCCCATAGGGCACGTAGTCATCCTTAATGGGTCATCTACATATCGTGGCCTCCCTGTTCCGCAGCTAGTTTTATGTGAAAGGAAAGGTTTCACGTGAACGTTTGCCCCGAGAACATGAGCGATGTGTCACGACGACATTAAACGAACGCATGACTTGGAAGACATGTTGTATTATTCGTGAGGCGACCTTTCACAGCTCCTTCTTTTCACCAGAGCCGTCATCATCAGCAGTCGCTGGGACAGGAACCCGGGCAGGCTGTGCCTTGGCCTGACTTTTCGTAAAGACGAGCCCTACGAGGGATGTAATCATCTCGCTGATCAAGGCAAGCATGCCTGTGCATGCCAGCTGCCACGAGACGATGCTCACGCTTCCGATCGGGGCCTTGGGGAAGGACAGAAGCCACTCAGCGTAGTACGGGAACCAGCCGTATGGCAGCCAGAACATAGGCTGCTTGCCATACCAGAATGGTAAGGCGTATTGGGGTACTCGCGTGACAAGCATGCGAATGCCAGTAAGATAACTGTCGAACTTGGATCGCGAGGCCTCCTGTGCCTTTTCTGTAATTAAACGAGTCAGCACAGGTCCTTCGATTATTTCTCATTCTTCCATTTGTTCCTGACGTACTGCTGCTTTCCAGTTGCTCGAGCATCTTATCATGGTTTCGCCTAAGCTTTGCCCACTTCGCAAACTGATCCTGACTGCTGGTGCCGTTCATTTCTTTGCGAATCTTCATATAGTCGGTCTGCAGTTGTCTATGCTTCGTCGCCGCTCTGGAGCTTTCGAGGGGCAGGTAGCTGAGAAGAGTCCATAGCTGTGGTGCGAGTTAGGCTGATGCAGCAACTTTTAAGGTTGGTAATGGTAACCTACCAGGTTGTTGATCGTCGCTGCGCCAATGCTGTCGATGACACGAACCGACAGCTCAACGGCGAATATTATGAGCATTAGAGAAGGCATAACGGGCAGTCTAAGCTCAGTTTGGCGGAGCGTCGTGATGTCGGGCTATTCGTGCATGTCGTAACAGTTGGGTTCTGTGGGTTGGGTCAGGAGCTGTCAGTCAGATGCCACAATGCTGAAAATCGTGTGCTATGTCATCGCCCCGCGAATTGCATGCGCCACTTCTGCCGGGCGGTCAGATATCCTGTAGCTGGAGTGGGTAGCCGATAGGACCTTGGCCAGAATGCACCCCCACCATACTCACAGCAGTATACATATCATTCCGACAATGGGCCATCACATCGTGGTATGCATGCGTCAAGATCCGATATGCCTTTTCTGAAATGTCTCGCGCTTTGGAAAAGGAGGTTGTGGCATTTTTGAGGTCCGGCGACCACACGGCGGTGTACGAGGACATCTCACGAGCTCTTGCTCCACCAGGTGACCCTACTCATGACCCGGCGGACTTGCTCGAAATCGAGATTCTAGGACGAAGTCACCCTACGCCGCCTGGTCAAAATCTGCTTCGAGACAAGAACGCCATCGGGATACCAAAATTACGTCTTGTACAAGCCTTTCTTGTAGCTCATCAAATCGCCAGAGCCCACACAAAGACAACCGAACGAGTGGAAGATGACATCCTTTCAGCCACGGCGGTGATGCTTCTGATGGATGCAGAGAACCTCACTGCTGCAAATACAAGGAAACGCATCCTGTTGTCTCGTTTCAAAAGGTGGGAGAACAGTAAAATCTCCGGTCTCCAACACCGAGACTGTCGGATATTACTCTGTCACGAAGGCTGGTTCGTCGACAGTCTTTTGACGAGCCGTCTCCATCGCCATACCAAATCACCAACGCTATGGAGTCATCGCCGATGGTTGGTCGAGCAACATCGGAACTTCGGTTATACGGTCGATACCCGAGCCGGCTTCAACATAGTCAAGACCGCGGGCGAGAGGCATCCCCGGAACTATTATGCATGGTGTCACGCGCGGTGGCTCCTCAAGATATCCAGACATGTTTTGAGCAAGGAAGATATGCTATCCCTGGAGAACGGTATCGAAATTTGGAGCCTCGCTCATCACAATGACATATCTGGCTGGTCAATGCTCGCTCACATCCAAGAAATGAGAGGCGACAACGTTGCGAGACTCAATATCTTTCGAAACCTGCTCGATACAGCTGAGAGCTATCGGTGGAA